GGGGGTAATGGTCTGTAACCCAGAGGCACTAAAGACAGACGATCAAGTGGAGGTGAAAGTCTGGCAATGGTTAAAAGACAAGCAAGGTCTGTCACGCATGCTGCGTGGCCATGTGTTTGGTTGGGATTCGTACAGAACAGCAGAAAGTTCAATGCCCTCTCTGTCCCCTGACAAATAACTAATATCACATCTCAATTTTGACACAAGAGTGCCAAAGACAGACGGCTAAAAGTTAAGACTAGTGGGCACACAAGCAGAAATACTGCCCATCATTTTTTTTAAAAATTATAACAACTAGGGGTGAAATTCAATCTACAGCTGTGAGAGGATCTGTGAGTTTTTAAGGTTAATCATTAACCCTGTGTGGAGAGCAGAAACCGTTACAGAAGACACTCTTTGAAGGATCCAGGTCTAAGTCACTCACGTATATGAGCCCAGAGTAGTAGCGGTCCTTCAGGTTGTGCAGCACCGACGCCTCGTTCAGACAGGTGAGCTCGGCCATGTCCTCCACCTTGCTGAACTTGGGCGGGTTCATCTTCTGGATGTCGTCCTTGTTGACCACCGCCTTCTTGCCGTTCTCGGCCAGCTCCAGCAGCACCTCGTCGCCGCGCTCCTCCCGGATGCTGGCCGCCTCGAAGCCATTGCGCTCCGAGGGTATCCACACCAGCTTCTTGGCCGTCCAGTCGGCCTGCGTGGCTGGGTTGTAAACCACAGCCCGGTCCACGAACAGGTACCGCTCCGGGTCCTCTTGCCCGCTCCGATGAGACATCTTACCTGGGCTTTACCAGAGCAATGTGGCCACCTGGAACAGACAGGGGTGCAGGGATTGGTACACTTTAGACATCACAGGTAGGATATGAAACATCAGAAACACCTCATGCGCCCTTTATCACTCTTTGTGCACTTATGATTTCCTTTTGTAACTACACTCTATTATACATATTTAACAACTGTATTACAAACACATTACAGACAGATCATTCTGTGTGATGGAAGTCATGAATTTATATAATAAAACTCCTGGAGTAACAAAGTAGCAAATGCACAGGAAACAGTGCATCCAGTTCAGAGCATGACTAGTGATAGACGGTGGCACAAGTTAAAAGTTAGACTGCACTCTCGGTGTGGGTGTAGGTCTGATGGTCCAATGCGCATAGTGCGTAGGCTTCACCGCTCTCGCAGCAGATGCAGCGGGAGGGAGCGACGTCGTGAATGGCACCTCGCCACGTCTTCTTCCAGAGAGCTTGCGGTATAGAAAATAAACCACCGTAGTTCAGATAGGCTACAACCTGCGCGCGTCTGTACAGACGGAGCTTATTTAGCGGATAAAAGGACAAAGCACAGAAACAGAAACCCGATATCTGCGGTATTTTAAGCTGAACCTGCGCAACTGACATAGCGTTAGCAAACTAATGTAACGTTAGCCAAACTAGTGACGTTAACCGGAATGCGCACGACACGGTACATTATGTTATAACGGCAAATAACGTCAGCTAAAAGTCCAGTTATCACCGGCAGAACGACCGTTATGATAAACAAAAACAATCATTATATATATCATATATATATATATTTTAATACTATCTGCAGCAATGTTTAACACAAATAAAAGTGTGACGTTACTCATTAAACTATAGCTTAGCGCAGCTAAATAGCACTTATTTTATTATCTATTAAAGAGTTTCAGTGTTACCTCCTTACCTAACAGGTGGGGAAAGGGGGTCAGCAAGGTTCCTCACATTTAAAAGTAGAGTCTTAGTTAATGTTTCCTAAATAATGACTACCGTTATAGTCATAACTTAGTTTCTGGGTAACCCACATCACCCCCACCGCAGCTTCATAACAGTTAACGTACCTGGTGTGTGTGTGTGTGTGTGTGTGTGTCGTTAGGCAGCGAAGCAGCAGTCCGATCCTGTTCACCAAGCAGTCAGATCTCTCCTCCGGACGACGATGCGACCCCCGTGTGCGACTAGCTGCTCCACACAACTGAATGAAACGCAGGCACGTAACAGGGGCTCCGGTATGCGCCACATGCACAGTGTGCTGCCTCCACACAGAGCTACTGCCTCCACACTGGCGCCCCTCCTCACCGGAGCGGACTCGGACAGTTGCTTGCTCCCGCCTACTACGGACTGAGCTCACATAGAGACGGACCGAGCAGATCAATACGCCACACTGACTGCCTCCGAGATGACTCACTGGAGCAGAAATGTGGATCTGTGTGTGTCACGGTCTCTTTTAACTCACGAATTAAAACACGTTGATGACGAATTGCACGAGGACATTGTGCTTCAGTAAAAGCTTTTTCAAAAAAAAAAAATCTATCCCAAAAATATCTATGAATTGCACACACCCACTGGATGCAGCTCAGAGATAATTGGGCTTTCACTTTGCGGTCCCCCCC